AGCATTGCAAAGGCCGAAAGGCATCACCACAAACTCGTCCAGACCGTACCTGGTCTGAAAGGCGGTTTTGTGTTGATCCTCGGGCCGGATTGCAATTTGATGGTACCCGGACTTCAGATCTATCTTACTGAAGTACCGACACCCTTGCACTCTATCTAACAGATCATCGATGCGTGGTAGGGGCTCTCTGTTCTTTACAGTGATGGCATTGAGGCCCCTATAGTCAATGCACATCCTAAGTGTACCCTCCTTCTTCTTAGGTATGAATAGTACTGGAGATCCATAAGGAGTGACACTCGGCCGGATCCAACCCTTCTCTACGAGTTCCTTGAGTTGTCGACGAAGCTCATCAAATTCGCCTGGAGACATCCGATAGATCCTACCCTTTGGGATACTAGACCCTGGGATAATCTCTATCGCGTGGACGACCTCCCTCTCTACAACCCTTGTCGGCTCTTCAAATAGATCAGGGTACTTGGCAACTACTCCCTCTATCTCCGGCGGCATTTTCTCCGGCTCGCCTGCAGCAAAGACATAAACTAAGTACATACCCTCCTCCTGATTTTGCTTATAATAATTGTAGAACGCGGCCGCACACATGCACCCATAGGACTCAATCAGACTACTAGCTTTGAACTTATGTAATCTGGTGGTCCCTCCACCTGGCAAAGTGTGTTTGACCACTTTTCGGTCCCAGTCAAACTGGGGCTGTGCCACAGAGGGGTAGTACATACCTAACAACATGTCCATGGGGAGTTCATCGCTCACTAGGAACGAGACACGATGTCTCAATTCCCCTCCCGTGTACGGTAAACAACACTCTACATCTTGGAGGTAGTCATTGACTACCATGCGCTGTTTGTTGACACAGGTCGACTCCACAGGTCGACTCAGGCGCTGCTCTTGCCCCTGTAAGCGCAGCCTCTCAACGCGCGCGCGACTGGCAAAGTTTCTAGTCGGGCAAGTGTCATAATAGGCCCCGGCCTTGCGGCCGCCAATGACAACCTCGCTGACGAACATCTCACACTTCAAGGCTCTGGCTAGGGCCGTCCAAGAAGCTAGCGGGTCTGATCTAGACCACTACACCTCTAGCTCCTCTAAGGACTCAAACACATTCATCGAACAGAGGCTCGATGGGTCTGAACGTGTTTGCGGGACGACTCTGGAGTCAGTAGCGTGGGCCATCTCTCGAGATGGTGAGGGTGTCTCCACCGCCTCGACCCTAGCAGGAACAACTACTATTCCTACTGGCCCGACGTGTTTCCCGGAGCAGTGCCAGAAGTACTAGCAACATTGCTACCGACGGGATGGGAGGATCCTACCGCCTGCCCCATCGTAGGCGGGATCTTGTCGGTTACCTTCTTATTACGACACCTGAACTGATTATGGCCGTATTGGCCACAACGAATGCAAGCCTGCCGAGTGTATCGATCTCTCCCCACGTCCTCTGAAAGACCCGCCTCCTTGAC